GAGATTTAGGACCATGTGTTACTTGCTTGCTCTAAGGCTAAGTCTCTTTGCCATGTTTGACTACTTGATTTGTGTGGCATAGTTAGTGAATTATAATTTTGTGTATCGAAAAGTCTTGAGTACACATCTCCTTGTGGTGCAAAATTTGTGCGCTTTAAACTAATATTATGAGTATATTACATAGAGCCTTCGATTTTAAGTGTGGGGTCATCTTTGACTCTCACGATAACCTTAGGAGAATTTCTAAATTCATTCTCACAATCATGATTATTATGTTGTAGGTTGCTATGGCTTGTGACAGTGCGAACAAGGCAAAGGAGTGGAGAAGTCCTCCACCACTGCTCCCCCTCCTAAAAAGTGCAAGCAAGGGGAAGGGTAATCTTGGCAAGCTAAAGGGAAGCAGGTTGCCAATGGATCAAGGAGAGGACCGTCGGGTCCAAGGACCCATTTTGATCTAGTTCGGGAGGACGCCATCCAGTGGTATCACGGCTTTGAGCCATATGGGCAGTAGGTCTCTGAAATGGGGATCAACGTGAAAACTCTGGAGAAAAACTTCCCGAATGTGCTAGCCCGGTTGAGAGATATGAAGATGGATAAGTTCCTAAAGTGCCTGTCATATGAAAATTCGAGCATAGTGAGGGAACTCTATGCAAATTTGAATGGGACATGTTCATGTCGTGGGTCTGAGGAAAGGAAGTGCTGCCGGATAGGGATTCCTTATGTAAATTTTTGAGAGTTGATTGACCTAACCCGCGAAGGCTGTAAAAGCTTGTCAAATCCTAAGCTCCAGGTTATATGTCACACTCTGTGTGGCGTCGATTCTAATGCAAAGTGGACAAGAACTAAGGGTGATGCCCATCTTGAGATGATTCGCTTTAACTTCAACAAGATTGCCAAGGTATGGCAAAACTTCGTGCAGGCTAGACTGATGTCGGTTGAGTACAACAGTGAATGCACTTGAGATCGAGTGTGTTTAATATTTTTTCTGATGATTGGGCGATTGAGCTCGAGTGTGTTTGATATTTTTTCTGATGACTGGGCGATCCATCAATGTGGGTGAGATCATGTTAGGAGATATGGCCTGCACACGATTTGGGCAGAAAATAAAAGTATTCTTCTTTGGAAACCTGTTAATGCAGTACATGCTCTCCTAGGAGGTACCTGAATATCACGGTTATGATGAGGTTGTGGAGGCTCCAAAGGGGTTGATGGAGATTACCTCTTTGTTGGAGTCTACGTTCAAGATGAGCTAGGCGGCGCGGAATGAGAGTGACAAAAACTATGACATGTATCTATTTAGCTCCCTGGATGTGATAATGAGTAGGTTGGACGTGACGAATGAGAAGTGTATGCATCTACGCAATGATTTGTTCAGTTCTTCAAACGAAATGTTGGGAATTGCACTTGGCAGTCCCATTCACCCGTTAGAGGATGAAAATAGCCACAAAGGCTCAGATGATGAGGATGATATTGGTACTGTCATCACGGGGCCAATGGCTTTGGTGCCCCTGGGGGCAAATAATAATGATGGCTCGGAGCTGCGGCTTGTGTGCATTCTGAGGATGAAGGGTCCGAGTATGACCCGCATGGGTCCGACTAGCAGGAAGTTCTCTTTTCCACCTTACTTTACTTTAAATTCTTACATGCATCGGGACTATGCATAAGCTAAGTGTGGGGTGGGGGAACTACTTTATGTGATGTAATTGTATAAAATTGTTTTTTATTTTTATTTTATTAGTTTTTCTTTTAGGAACTCGTAGTAGACATAGTCCAGCTTTAAGAAGAAAAAAATCAGAAAAAGCTCAGACTTTTCCTGACGATGGATCTTTAGGATAATTTTCTTGAGGGATTAAAGTCCGATTTAAAACATCAAAAAAATATTTGTTAGGATAGTTAGGTAGTATCCCTTAGTTTTACTTTGGCCGCTGTTCTTTTCCAAGGGTGTAACTTGAACTGGGTGCTTTGTTTTTTTAGGAGCAGGATAAAAAGAAAACTTAGTTGCTCTGAGGTACCTATTGACATGTTTGGTGCTGGGACATTAGGCTATGGCATGCGCTCTGTCTTCCCGTCTTCTTGTTATACTTGATTTGAATTGTGATGCCAAAGTAATATAAATAGTCTACTCTGTGGCGTCTTTTCTCTGTTGTTTGACTTGTATGTCACCTAGTGCAATATTGCTTAAAATTTCTCAACTATATATGTCTGCTTAACTTGAGAGTTGAACAAAACCGTCTTGATTGAGTCATGTGCAATGTGTGTGTGAGGATTTGTGATATTTTGTGTTATCCTGTATAGTCTAGAACTTGCCCCGTATATTAATCGAAGCGAAATCATTAAGTTGTGCTAGTCTAGGAGATGACATAGGAATTTCTTGCTTGATCGTAGATGTTCTTATCACTTAAAATAAAAAAATTCCATTGCTAAGCCCTTTGAGATTATAGACCTTTTCTTGGGCACCCATATTACAAGTCGTATCCCTATTTTGTTCTTAATTTGAGCTTGTTGAACCTTTACCTCCGGAGGCACTTAGTCTCTAAAAGAAGTAAGGTGAGAGATTGAAAAGTAGATTTCGGGTGGAACGATGGGAGGGCCCTTAAGGTGCACTAAAATTATGAAAAAAGGTCACTAGCCGATGAACCTTAATGCATGGAGTGTGTGTAGAAAAGAAAAATTGCAAGAAAAGAAAAAATAAATATACTATAAATAATTTAGAGGAAAAATACATACCTCCTAATATTACTAATTCGTGCTAGTGGGGAGGTAGAAGTGCTTAGTTGAAGAAAAGGCTATGTTGTATATGGTTTATGGAGAGTGAATTGGTTGCGAAGAATATGTGCTCGAATTTGAGTTTAGTGTATTAAATTGCTTAGGAGGGTTAGTCAATATTCGTAAATATATCTTACTCATCCGTTAGCCTACATTACAACCCATAAAGTCTTAATTGATTCTAGACTTGGCTAGCTTAGATTAGTAGAGATGTACACTAAGGGAAAGCTTATGGTACGACCACAGGATGCACATGAATTCTTTGTGAGAGTGAACGACTTTTTTTCAAATTGTGTGATATCCTTAAATTATCTTCAAAGTCATACTTGAATGTTTGAACTATTCTATATTCACTCTTTTGTTTGTTGGAGAGGACACATGATCTCATGACGGATTGGTGATGTTATGAATTTCTCTTGTTGTGTGAGTGCGCAAGTTGAGGATGCTTAGTGAAAATGAGTCGGCTCTTCAGGTAGGGTGGATATGGATAGGTTGTTTGAATTGATTAAACTGAAATGTTTATACTTGGACATGTTTAAAATGGAAAGAATGTGAATTTCGTGTGTTCATGCCTGATTGTCAGTATCGACCATAGTCAAGGGTAAAGTGTATGATTGAATAATTGAATTCCTCCTTTCTAGTTGAGGTGTACATTGTTGGGGTGTAGTTGATAGTCCCATTGCTCGAGGGCGAACAAGAGTCTAAGTTTGGAGTGTTAATATTTAGCTTAAAGTATGTATATTTATATGCATAGTGCCTCATATTTTAATCATGTTTCGTAGATTCCGGATGTGAATTTTAATGATTTATGCTAATTCATAGTATTTTTATGTGTAGGAATCATCCAAAGGCAATATGGGATGAACGTGCGAGATTGGAGGCAAAAAGGAACGAAATAGGAAAAGGCCATAGAGTAGTGCCCAGGCTAGCGTGGGGCGCTACCTGTGGCGCAGAAGAGAAAATTGCAAAAGTCCCAGTGCCAGCGCCCCATGCTACCCTGGACACTGGTGACAGAAAATTTTCCTAACTCGACCGGAACAAGGTTATTTCGGCCCAAGACATCCCCAGCGTGTATAAAAGCAAGCCTAAACCTATTTTGTGAGGGGAGACGCCTCTTTGAGAGAAAAACACTCATGAGGAATACTCAGGAGCAAGGATATCTTAATTTTTCTTCATCATTCTTAGTATTCTCAATTATTCAACACTTGTGAAATTATTTTGATTTTATCATGAGTGGCTAAAACCCATAGTTCCAGGGTTGTGATTTACCCATGAATACTGTTGTTTGACATTGACTTAACCTTGATTACAATTGCTAATATAAGGTTATTTCTTCAATTCTCTGATTAATTGCTTATTGTCTGGCTAACAGTTAGGTTCTATTTACTATCTATGCTATGCTTGGGAAAGCTACGTCTAGACTAAAGAAGAATTGAAGAGGGCATGATCTTAACTCTCAGTGGGGGTGGATTTGTGGTTAGGATAAGAATATACCTAGTCACCATGCTTAATTGAATATCGTAATCTTAATGCGTTCTTAACAGATTGATTTCATAGGAATATGGGCGATAATCTATTTTGACTAGGCGAGTAGTAATTCGGGAGAATGCTACGAGAGAAATTATTTGACTAATTAGCAACCATGAGTGAATTGTATGAAAGAAAAAGTTAATTAGAACACAATAGGATTGGTGAATCGATCACAATTCTAGTATATTCATATCTACTGAATACACATCAATCATTTTGTTGCTTGATTTATTAGTTACTTGTCACAATTATTGCTTAGTATAATCACACTTTTGAACTCTGATTGACTCGACTAATAATAATTTTGGTGAAACTAGTGGGTAGCTAACACAAGTCTCTGCGGGTTCAACACTCGATTTATCACTTTATTACTTGTACTACCACGTATATGTGTGTGCGCATTTGGGAGCAACATTCCCCATCAATTCAAAAGGATATTATTGATGCTTATTCCAAAGAGACAATTAAAGCAATCATTGAAGATTTAGATGGAGATTTTTTCGGGATACTGGTTGATGAATCAAAGGATATATCACACAAAGAGCAAATGGCATTTGTTTTGAGATATATTAACAAAGAAGGCGAAGTAATAGAATGATTTGCTGGTATCGTTCATCTTAATGATACTGAAGAAGTACATAAAAAGAATAGGCTCTTGTTATTAGCTCTTAGCTTAATCATAATGTACATCATACATGGGATATTTATACAACTTCATGAAGGACTCCTTCAAACATAGGTTTAGCTACGTAGAATATTCCAACTGTAACTCTAGGCACTGTCTACAGATAACTTCACACAGTATTCTAGTTATACATGAACTCATATATACGGTTAAAGATATTTGTTATGTTTTAGGTTATAGAGTCCATTTGGGTCTCATCTCAGTTGTGTGTAGTCTAACATCCCCCCCCCCCCCCCCCCCTCAAGTTGGAGTGGGGAATTTGCACTACTCCAAGCTTGGTTCGGAGCGACTGAAACTGAAATATAGACAAGGGTTTTGTCAATATATCAACAACCTGAGACATGGAAGGAATGAACTTTGTCACCATAGCTCTTTGGACAACTTTTTCCCGGACAAAGTGATAATCAAGTTCAACATGTTTGATGCGAGCATGTAAGACTGGATTAGCTGTGAGATGTAATGCATTGATGTTGTCAGTAAACAATACTGGAGGCTGAGATAGAGAAATGACAATATTCTTCAAAATGTAGGTAACCCACGTAACTTCAGCAGGAAGAGAGGCCAAGGACCTGTATTCAGCTTCGGCGCTGGATTTTGCAACTGTGTTTTGCTTTCTAGAGGACCAAGATATGCAATTCAAACCTAGGAAAACACAGACTTGATGTGGACCTGCGAGAAAGTGGGCAGCCAGCCCAATCTGTATCCGAAAACCCAACTAGATTTAGAGAAGATTGAGCAGAGATGCGTCATCCAAGTTGAGAAGTTCCTGCGATGTAACGAAGGACTCGTTTAACTCCAGACCAATGAACTTCAGTTGGACTTTGCATAAACTAGCAAAGAAGATTTACTGAATGAGAAATTTCGGGCCTGGTAAGGGTGAGGTATTGGAGAGCTCCAACAATGCTCCTATATTCAGATGCATCGACTAAGGAACCAGTAGAGTCATGTAAAGTATGCTTCTGAGATAGAGGAGTATTCAAAGGTCTAGCAGCGAGCATATTGGTCCTTGAAGAATATCCAAGGCATATTTCTGTTGTCTAAGAAAAAGCCCATCTTTGGTTAGGGTAGCCTCAATTCCAAGAAAGTAATATAAATCTCCCATATCCTTCATTGCAAACATGGAACTGAGCTTGTGGATGAGGATATTAATTAGTGAGGAATGGCTGCATGTGAGGATGATATCATCGACGTAAAAAAGAAGCAGAAGGGTGCCCTTTGAAGAGTGCCCTTTGAAGAGTGCAACACAAACAATGAGGGGTCTGCCTTGCTACAAGAGAAGCCAAGATGTAAAAGGAAAGAACTAAACTTGTGAAACCATGCCTTGGGCGCTTGTTTGAGTCCATAAAAAGCTTTCTTTAGCCGACAAACATGGTGTGGAAAAATTAGATCTTTAAACCCCGGGGGCTGCTCCATGAACACAATTTCCTTCAAGTCTCCATGTAAAAAAGCATTTTTCACATCGAGTTGTCGAATGGGCCAATTGAGAGTAGTTGCAATGGAGAAAACAATGCGGACAATTGTTTCCTTTATCACCGGACTGAATGTGTCTTCAAAATCGACTCCTTCGATTTGATTATAACCTTTAGCAACAAGTCGCGCTTTGAAACGTTCCACAGACCCATCGGCTTTTAGTTTGGTCTTGAACACGCATTTGGACCCAATAAAGTTCATGTGCGGCTGACGAAGAACTAGAACCCAAGCTTTATTTTTACGCAAGGCTTGAAGCTCCTCATGCATAGTTGATACCCAGTGAGGTCGAGACAATGTATCTTTGATGGTATTTGGTTCTTTTGTGTCTAGCATCGTGGTCGCTGTAAGAACTTCAAAGGTAGGATTATGTATTAAACTAGTTTTTGCTCGTGTGAGCATATGATGGGTATTTGATGGGTTTTGGGGTCGAGATGGTGGCATAGGTTTGGGATGAGAATTAACTTGTAAATTTGTGGTACAAGGAATGGGAGGTAAGTCAACAAAAAGTTCTATACCTGGTGTATTTGAGATGTCAAGGTGTGATGAATTGGATGATGAGGTAGTGGAATGGCTAGTTGAAGTGGACGAAAATGAACCTGTACTTTGTGGAGAAATTGGAGCTAAAGCCAATGGACTTTGGTCTTGTTGATTTGAATGAGTTGGAACGTCCAAGTGCTCAGTTGTACAAGCAGGCAAGGTTTTGAATAATGATGGCAAAGCAGATACACCCAGTTGAGGTTGTTCATCGTTCACATTCTCCTCAAAAGAGGATGGAGCAGCAACTGAGTTAAAGAACTCTCGGAAAGTGGTAAAATGCGATGAACTAGAGTCAACATTCAAATCAGTAGTAGGAGATAGATATGGTAAGTGAAGTTCATCAAATATAACATGCCGTGAGATAAAAACCTTCCTTGATTGAGGGTGATAGCATATGTAACCTTTGCGAAGAAGACTGTAGCCTATAAATATACAAGGAAAAGTTTTTGGTTGGAATTTATTCTTATTTTGTCCTTTGAGGTAGGGAAAACATCTGCATCTAAAAACTTTTAAGATATTGTATTCAGGCTCTAATCCATACAACTTAAAGAAACGGGATTGCATGCTTAATGTAGAAGTAGGCATTCTATTAATTAAGAAAACGGCCGTCATAAAAGCTTCAACCCAAAGAAACAGTGGTAGGTTGGCATTAAAAATTAGTGTCAAGCCCGTTTTCACAATATGTCTGTGTTTTCTTTCTGCTATGCCATTTTGCTCAGGTGTATAAGGACAAGAAACTTGTCTTTGGATGCCATGTTGAGCCAAATAATAAAGAAATTCCAAGCTACTAAACTCTCCTCCCCCATCACATTGAAAGAATTTGAGTTTTTGAGAAAATTAATTTTCTACTAATTTATGAAAGACTATAAAGTTAGATAGAAAATCAAATTTTCCTTTGAGAGGGTAAAACCATGTAAATCTGGTACAATCATCAACAAATATAGCATAATATTTAATTCCTTGAGAAGAAGCCACAGGGGCTGGTCCCCATAAATCATAATGAATTTTCGTTAATGGCGCAATCTCTCTTTTATTTGATACTGGGAAAGATAACTTACAACTTTTACCCATCTGACAACTAGTACAAACAGAAAAGATTTTATTCCAACTTTTGACATCAATCATCTTATTGCTATGCAAAAACTTATGTATTCTTGAGTGCGGATGTCCTAGTCTTGATGCCAGATCGTATATGAATTCTTCTCAATCTTTGTAATTGCCAGTGCTTCATGTAAGTTTCCCTCCAACGTGTATAGATCATTCCTTTTATTTCCCTTTGCCAGAGTGATTCTCGTTTTCTTGTCCTTAACAATAAAATCTTCGTCAGTAAATTCCAAAGAACATGCATTATCCTTGACAAATTTACTAACAGAAATGAGGTTCTTCTTGAGTTTAGGCACAACAAAATCATCTTTTAGGTACAGGTTCCTCCCAATATTCTTATTACCTATATGTGTGATAGAAAGTTTATCACCATTTCCTACCATTACAGAGTCATTTCCCTTAAAAGGAGATGGATTTATTAGAGTACCTGCAAATTGTACCATATGGTTGGTAGCTCTAGAGTCCATGTAAAGATTGTCATCAGGTTGATCATTAAATGACATTGTTGCTAGTTCCTGTGGTACCTCTTGTTGTGCTTGGTAAGAGTAGTCCCATCTATAGAAGCAAGAAAGTGTCTGTATGATTGTTCCTTCCACAAATCTAATAGGGGCTTGACTTTAGATTCTCTTTTGATTTAGTGCTCCAAAATTCCTTTGACTAAATTGTCTTCCTCCCCTTCCTTTTGGTTGGCCTCTTCCTCTATAAAAATTGCCACGGCCTCTTCCTTGAGATTTTTGTGCTACAAAAGTCATAGTAGAATTAGGAGGTGTTTGTTCCATAATGTCATCAGTGTCTTCCCTCATTTCAAATCCTCTAAGGGCATTAACAAATTGGTTAAATGTGGGGTAGGGTGGTTTCCCCAACATTACAGTACGAAGGGTCTTGTACTTGCTCCCAAAACCTCTAGCGAAATTGATTACTTTGCTATCTTCGTCCAATGGTTTGTGTATCGCCATAAGACTATCACAAATTTCTTTAAACTCTTTTATGTATTCATCTATGGATTTTGATCCCAGTTTTACTGTTTGAAATTGTTGCTTCAATTGAAACTCCTTGTCCTTTGTTGCTTGGAGGTAAGTATACTCAAGACACAACCACATTTGTTTCGCCATGGAACATCCTATAATGAGGAACATTGACTCTTCTGTCATTGTTCTAGAGAGCCAACTTCTAACTAGAACATCATTCTCTTCCCACTCAGTGAATTTGGGGTTAGCGTTGGTCTCTCCTTCTAGGAATTTATTTGGAGCCTCTTCTTTGATAATATTTGTTACTTTCAATGTCTGCATAAGTTGGAGGATTTGTGTCCTCCAAACAAGATAATTTGATGGCTTAAGTTTTATGGGACAAATGACAATGAGTTGATGAAGGGAGGAAGGTGAGAGTGCAAGCGAGGTGGTTTGATTTGCATACATGACTAGGTAAAGGAATGAGCCTTAGGATCTTAATTTTAATAAAGCCTAAGCTTTGATACCATGAAGAAGTACATAAAAAGAATAAGCTCTTGTTGTTAGCTCTTAGCTTAATCAGAACGTACAACGTACATGGAATATTTATACAACTTCATGAGGACTCCTTTAAGCATAGGTTTAGCTACATAGACTATTCCAATTGTAACTCTAGGCACCGTCTACAGATAACTCCTCACAGTATTCTAGTTATACATGAACTCATATACACGGCTAAAGATATCTACTATGTTTTTAGGTTGTAGAATCCATTTGGGTCCCATCTCAATTGTGTGTAGTCTAATAGATACATCTGATTAATCATTGAAGAAGGCAATAGACTCTTTTCTTATGGATCACTCATTAAGTACATCACAAATACTTGAGCAAGGCTACGATGGAGCTAGTAATGTGAAAGGAGAGCTATAAGACTTTGATTTTGAGTGAGACTCCATTGAAATATTGCATTCACTGCTTTGCACATCAATTGCGGTTAACATTTGTGGCTCTTGCAAAGAAGCATTCAGATGTAGATTGTCGCGCCTCCTTTTTACCGCGCCCGCGGGGCGTGTGGGGAGTTTTCTCCAATTAAAGGACAGTCGAAACGGGATTTATTTAATAATTTCAGAGTCACCACCTGGGAATTTTAAGGCGTCCCAAGTCACCAATTTTAATCTCTGAATCGAGGAGAATATGACTCTGTTTATTATNCAACTATAGATTATGAACACAACCAATGTTATGCCAAAAGATAGCTAATTGCAACCAATCATCATCTAGCTTTAAACAACAATTAATTAACTAACAAAATAAATTGACAGCATATTTTCCTTGATATTTCCATATTATGCTATACCTATCTAACAATACCGCAAAAATATAAATAAAGCCAACTTTCTGCCATGCTTCCTATTTACACAACTCATACATAACTAAACTAATGAAATTTGACATGGATAACATTATTACAAAGTTTTATATGAATTTCAAA